ACCCCCAACAATAAAATTATTTTTGTTGTAATTTCATAACTGTAATTTTGCTACTGTTATGAATCATAATGTAAATATCTGATATGCAGGATGTATTTTCATTGTTATAAATTGAACATAATTAAAGAATAGTGATTAATCACAAAAGTAATATGTAATTATATATTGTGAAATATTTATTTTTAATTACAAATAATGAAATTTTGTCTTGAAGCATGGCTAGCATGGGTAACAGTCTTAATATAACAACAGTAAACTACATTGCTACATTGTACGACAGTATGGGTAAAAAGCCAATGTCAGTGTGAAGGTTGAGATTGCATCTTTCCATCAGATCAGAAATTCTTGGGACAATCTTTGCAAGAGCACAACGAAGATCATCTTCCACAACAAGTCTACTTGTATATTTAGACTTGATAACCAACAAGCTGGAAAACCCTGTTTCACAAAGATATGTTGTTGGAAATGGAAGAAAAATGTGCAACATGGTCTCAGACAGAACAGGATATGACTGCAAACACTTGACCCAGAATTTGGACATTGTAGAGAAATCAGTTCTCGCTGCATTGCTGTTAATAAGTTCAATGAACTCCTCTTGTGCTATCTCAGGAACATCTCAACTTTGTGAATGGGCTTCTGGCAAGTGCAAATGGGATGTCAGGTAGATTTGGAAAGTACGATGAAATTTAATCTGCAAGCATGTGCAAGTGTTCTTTTACAGAAATTATCATCGTACTCCTTTTATGTTTTTCAACATCATGTTCTCAAAGCAGATAAAGTAGGCGACATGTAAATTTTATTTTCATTCAATTTTTTTTTTTTTTGGCCAAAGCTGAAGTTTCATTTGGAATGATTGGCTCTTTTCAGACAAATTGAGGCATGTTGTATTTGGTCCTTGCAGTGATAAATTGAACTCTTTCAAGATGGCAAAGATGTCAACCAAGTAAGCTATTTTCTGCAGTTCATTTTTATCACTGAAAAGTGCTTCGAAGTGTGTCTTGCTTTTTGATTAAAAAACGTTTTGAGGGGCAGCACCTGTGGCTCAAAGGAGTAGGATACTGGCCCCATATGCCAGAGGTGGTGGGTTCAAACCCAGGTCTGGCCAAAAACTGCAAAAAAACCAAAATAAATTAAAAAAAAGTTTTGAGTTCATCACAAAGCTCAAAAATACATTTTAAAACTTTTCCTCTCAAGGGCAGAGGCAAAATGACTGTTTGGAGCCAGCTTTCCATAGAGGCTCCTGTCCAGAAAGAAAGTTAAAGGACAGAAGTTTAGCAAGTAAGCTGATTGGAGCTGAGCCAGGAGAGAAGGTTGAAGAACACACATCAACCCTGCTGAGGTGAGCTACGACCCTAAGGAAACAAACTATAGATACAAAATCTGTCACCAAGTGGATGGGAGTCCCCTCACCCATGAGAATGGCTCACAGTATACTTTATACAAACAAGTGAGCAGAGTTCAGATTTTCTCCTATTTTATCCCATGGGAGAGACCTTCTTAAAAACTGGAACTCCTTCCCCAGAGAGGACCCACTAGTGTGCCATGGCACTCTCTCGCCAGGCATTAAACTGTATA